AAGTTGATACGATCAGGGTTGGACATTTCAAACCATAAAATTTCAAACCGTACTCATGACACCTCCCCCGCTTAGTCATAATTATAACTTTTTTTCAAAGCAAAGGACCAGGTTCTCTCCCTTATAGTTAGTTAGTTTATAGCCATAGTTTTTAGAAAAACAAGTTTTTTTTCCTAAGATATTATAGTAATAGCAGTAGGGCTTGTTGACATATTCTTGACAGAAATGTAACAGAATTTAACCTTGTAACTTCGTAACTTTGTAACTTAGTAACTTCGTAACTTTGTAACTTCGTAACTTGTAACGCTATTTCCAGGGACCCCTTTTCTATGGTCTGTCCGGATAAGCTTACAGACCATAGAAAAGCGATTTCGACACAGAAAAGCGATTTCGATTTGTTTTTTACCATAACAAAGCCGAAAACAAAGTAAAACTTTCAAAACAAAACCATTTTTAGCATGCGCCGGCTCCGTGCGCGGGCGATTCGTCATTTCATCGGTCTGTCCTACGATCGACAACGGCTCTCGACCAATCAGCACGCGAGAATTCTACAAGTTATTATATGGTAAAAACGCGTTTGACACCGGAAACGGATGCGAAGGAGACTAGTTGGCAAGGGTATGATTCGTTATTCATAGTGTGAATAAATCCCGGGGTGGGGAGGTATTTGAACGGGGACGTTCCATTACCCTATTCAAGACACGAAGGYCAAAACGCCATATCCTGTTTGGCGTTGAGTAAATATAGGGGAGTAATCCCCCCCCCTCCTTTACCCCCTTGAATATATAAAACGTGTTCATTTCGAATTACTTTTTTACCTTCACGAACATCTGTTTTGAAGTTTGGCGGCTCAAAACATCGTTTCTTGAAGTTCGACGACGTCGGGTCGTTCTTCTCTGGCAAAAGGTTTAAATACCACTTAAACCATGAATACTCACTAATAGAAGATTTTCGCATCTCTTCTCCGCATCTTGAGAGAGTATCCAAAAGAACGCTCTTGCAAGGCAAGAATGGACCTTTGATGTCCGGTTCGCATCGAGGAAATCTTGTGGAGCACAGCACTTGTCTGATGGTTTTTGTGCAGTTGCCAAAGTATTCACTAAAGTAGAGAGAGAGCATGTATTCCTTTCTCATGTCGGCGAATTTCGCCGTATTGTTGTATCCGCATAGTTCTGCCAACCCAGATGACTTGTTGAATGGTCTACAGATGTCATCTTGAACGGCAAGGACAAAGATGGCTTGATAGTACAGSATTAACGATACGGCCAGTAAAGATGTTGAGGACACGGACCTGTATATGATATGTCTTCAGTGACAATCATTGATGATATTTTGCTTAAAACTCCAAGAGAAAATATCATTTATAAAAACGAAGATATAGTCCAACGCAAATTAGGACAAATCTCTTGCTCGAATATRGATTCGGTCACGGAAATAATTTTCCATTGACATTGTGTTTAGCCAATTGAATTTGAAAACAAAGTTAGAAATGACATAAAGATGCTAGATACTTACATTGTTGAKGTGTTGACCCAAAACCTCACGACGGCTATGTCCTGGTGCATTCAAATGAAATCTTCACTGGTCCAAGTGACGAAATGGCCCTACGGATATTTTGGTTGACTAAAGATTAACAAAAGAATTGAGGACGAGGCTCCGGGAAAACAATAGCTATAGACCTTTTCGCGGTTAAAACCAAAGCGGAAGACATGTTTGCTGCAGCCCTTAAATGAACAAGAGTAAACATAATCTTACTTCTGTCCAAAGTTACTTTAAGTAGTTTCTTCTTTTGAACCTTTTTCTAGTTGTAAATAATACAGTCATTATCTAGCCTTCTCATTGGGCATGTTGCTATTCCAGTTTTTTTTATAAATGTTTGGTTCCCTGTGTCAGGAATGATGTAATGGTTCGAACTGCGGTGAATAGATGTGAAATGATTTATATGATCGTCGCATTAAAATAGTATTCTAAGCGATTATTAATAAATGTATGGATCTTCGGAAAACTTTCAGGCTTCAACGGGAATCGAACCGATGCCGGTGCAGTGCTCTACCAACTGACTGCAATGAAGCCAACTATATTTTTTTTATTTGGTGAACCCATGAAGCTATTTTTAGGAGCAGCCGACGGGTTCCTTGGAGAAATATGTCTGTTCTTTTGTCCCAGCCAGCTGTAAGTCACAACTGGTTGCCAGCGAGAAATTCATAAAWAAGAACTCTCCAGGCAAGGAAGTACTTTCTAAGAAGTTTTGCCAGGAAGATAAAAATTTCTTAACTAAAAAAAATATGAACAGTTTTTGACCATGAAAACATTATATCAGCCTTTTTTGACCTATATAAWACGTTTGCCAGGAACAAAATTATTTTTAAGAAGAAAGTGCGACAAATTTGCTTGTGAGATTGTCAACAATGTAGCTCAAAATCCTTTTCCCAAGAAAAAAATCGTACAAGAACAGTTATTTAGAAGAATAGATCCCTTTACTAGTCCGTAGAGGGGAAAGGGATGCATGCAGAGGTTTCTCAACAACCAATCATGTGCTCATAAAAACTAGTTAAAGTTTTATTTGATATCTGGGGATTAAGTCAGCGAGTGGAAWCTTACGTRCATAAGGTAATTTAAGAAACAATTTAATTAATGTTATTAGCCTCATTGYCAAAAAGAATGGATATAACATCACAATATAATGTAACAACTTATAACACAATGTGAGAGACTTCTAGGTAAGAACTTAGTGCTGCGCATTTTTAGATAGTAAGGCTAGAGATGTAGAGGATTGGAATTTAGGTAGCCTGYCTGCAGCCGAACCAAAAGAGTTTTAGTTCGGTTGCACGCAGGTTAGGAATTAGTACGTTAGCTAGAGTCCTGAATAGAGCTGCATTGCAAAACCGATCAGGATCGCACTGCCGGACAGCACACCACTTGCTTTTTGCTTGACAGAGGAACCTGAAAGAAAACAGACAATGGTTAGTTTGCAAAAATCTATTAAAACTATAATAAAACTCCATGGGTGTGGTGGATAACACAGGAACCCCAACGCTATTATAAATAGTACCAATATGAGATGCAGTGCGTGACAARGAAAGAGCCGGAGCATGTTACAATCATAGTAACCCCGTCGCTTATTATATTCATGCAGAGAAAATTGTTGTCTTGCTCTACATATTGTCAGCTATTTGACACGTTTCGCTCATAGCATTGTATCGCCCAAAGTATGGCTGATTGTTCCGTAAAGATGGATTCAGCTTAATTGGATGTTCTTTTGTCGTATTTCCCATCATTTGTCTTTGTGGTTTATCTATGCATGGTTGGAAAGAAAGAGGAAATACATCTGCCCCTAAACCACGCATTAAAAATATACGCTTATGAAATCACAAAATCCCGTGAAATTATCAGAAGGTACGACAAAAACACTGTGAAGAATCATTAGTCTTACTTTTGTCATTTGGTAATGCTCCCGGCCATACATYGGCATATAGCCATTCAATCACTTTGCAATGGCCACCAGACTTCGGGCCTTTAGGATATAAGGCGCAATCGTCTTTCGTAATAACCACTGCCGGGGAAGAGCAGTTTTTCTTGAAGTAATCCTGGCACATGTCTCTGCAGGTGGCTCCGATGTACTTGCTGTCGCTGTAGCAAGGTGGGAGTAAATCTTGACAAACCAACTTCGATGCCATCTTTTCGCACTCTTTCGTTGCGTTCTTTAGCATTACGTAAGCGCGATGTTTTTGCTCCTTTTCAGGAAATATTGTAAACTTGTAGCCATAATTTTGACACAGGGAGACTACAAGAGGAAAACACTTGTTGGGCTCCAAATCACCTGAATAACAGAAACATACGACCAGAGTCACKTGAACCATGAAATAGAAACTAAATACTTAGTAACTAATAGGCACTATTTAGACCACTGAACCAGAACAATCGGCCTCAAGGACGGCGAGACCCGAAGGCAAACTTCTGACATGGAAAAAAAATATATATATACGCGCTGCATTTTCTGATTCGTGACCCGGCCTAGGGCCCGGTCACGATTAAAAACGTGATATTTTTATGAAGAGGATTGATACATGATCATTGATTGAGCTGTGATTATTATTATATTATTATCAAAATTCATTCGATTTTATAGTTGGGGATTTTTGATTTCTTTTCCGTTTCATCGACATAAAAACTTATTCATCAAAATTTCCAATGAAAATTTATTCATCATTGATATTTTTTTAGTAAAATTCGACCCTCGACATTGTAYCCTCGATCCTCGACTTGGTACCCTCGATGATTCGTTATTCAYAGTGTGAATAAATCCCGCGCTGGGGCGGTATTTGAACGGGGACGTTCCATTACCCTATTCAAGACACGAAGGCCAAAACGGCGCCATATCCTGTTTGGTGTAGAGTAAATATATAGGGGAGTAACCCCCCCCCTTCACCTCCTTCAATATTTAAAACGTGTTCATTTCGAATTACTTTTTTACCTTCACGAACATCTGTTTTGAAGTTTGGCGGCTCAAAACATCGTTTCTTGAAATTCGACGCCGTCGGGTCATTCTTCTCTGGCAGAAGGTTTACATTCCACATTAAMMACGAATACTCACTAATAAAGGATTTTCGCATCTCTTCTCCGCATCTTGAGAGAGTATCCASAAGAACCCTCTTGCAAGGCAAGAATGGACCTTTGACRTCCGGTTCGCATCGAGGAAAKCTTATGGAGCACAGCAYTTGTCTGAGGGTTTTTGTGCAGTTGCCAAAGTTTCGACCATAGTAGCGAGCGTAATTGAATTCSTTTCTCATGTCGGCAAATTTCGCCGTATTGTTGTATCCGCATAGTTCTGCCAACCCAWRTGACTTGTTGAATGGTCTRCAGATGTCATCTTGAACGGCAAGGACAGAGATGGCTTGACAGTACAGCATTAACGATACGGCCAGTAAAGATGTTGAGGACACGGACCTGCGTAATGATATGTCTTCAGTGACAATCATTGATTGAAAACTATCTAACTTTGATTATGAATTTTAATATATACGAGCGGGAAAAATTGCTGCGACCTGCAAGGCTTCTCGCCTGCGGCTCGAATCCCGATAAATCACGCACTCTTGTTCTATAAGCAACACATAAAGGTCGCGAATATTTGACTGATTTCTTATCAAATTCCAAAATAAGCTAAAGAGGCATATTTTGCTAATAATTTATAAAGATAAAGTATCGAATAAGATATTTATA